GGACCCCCAGATCCCCCCCCCGGAACCCCCCCGGACCCCTCCGGGATCCCCCAAAATTTCTCGGAATTTTTTTGGGATCCCCCCCCAAAAAAATCCCAAATAAATCCCGAACCCCAAAAGAGTCACGTGGTTTTTTTTTTGGGGGGGGGGGGAATAAATCCCATGAATCTTTGCGCCTAAAGGGGGATAAATCCCACAATGCTTTGCTCCTAAAGGGGGGATAAGTGCCACAATGCTTTGCTCCTAAAGGGGGGATAAGTGCCACAATGCTTTGCTCCTAAAGGGGGGATAAATCCCATAATGCTTTGCGCCGAAAGGGGGGATAAATCCCACAATCCTTTGCGTAAAAAAAAAAGGGGGATAAATCCCATGATCCTTTGCGTAAAAGGGGGGGATAAATCCCACAATCCTTTGCGTAAAAAATAAAGGGGGGATAAATCCCACAATGCTTTGCGCCTAAAGGGGGGGATAAATCCCACAATGCTTTGCTCCCAAAGGGGGGATAAATCCCACAATGCTTTGCGTAAAAAAAGGGGGATAAATCCCATGATCCTTTGCGTAAAAGGGGGGGATAAATCCCACAATCCTTTGCGTAAAAAATAAAAGGGGGATAAATCCCATGATCCTCCGCGCCTTAAAGGGGGATAAACCCGGTGATTTTCGGCGCTGGAAAAGGAGGAGAAATCCAAGGATTTCCCGCGCTGCAAACGCGGATAAATCCCCAAAATTGCGGCGCTTAAAACCGGGAGAAATCCCGGGAATTTAAAGCGGGGAAAACCCCCCGGATTTTCGGTGCTTTTGGAGCTTTCTCCGAAGGCCCCGCGGTTTCCATGGCGACGGGGCCGGAACAGGGGGCGGGGCTTCCGCTGCGGGCGTGTCCCGAGCGGGGCGGGGCTCGAAGCTGATTGGTCAGGGAATGTTCCGCCTCCCGGCGCTTCCCGATGACGTCATCGGCCGGCGCCGGCGGGCAGGGACCCGAGCGAGGCCGGCCCGGGGTGAGCGCGGCTCCCCAAAATTCCCAAAAAACCCCAAAATTGCCCCAAAATCCCGCCCGGAGCCACCCGGGAATGGGGGAGGGGCTCTGCGGAGGGGCAGCGGGGGACGGGGTGGGGGAAAATCGGGGGGGGATGGGGGGAAATCGGGGATTTTGGGGCGGGGTTGGGAATTTCGGGGGGGGATTTGGGAATTTCGGGGGGTCCGGGAGGGGAAATCGGGAATTTGGGGGTCGGGGCCCGGGAGGATAACGGGGATTCCTGAGGGGGCTCGGGGGATTTTGGGGAACTGTTTTTGGGGGGGGGGGATAACGGGAATTTCGGGGTTTTCGTGGGAATTTGGGGATTTAACGGGAATTTGGCGGGATCCAAGGGGAATTTCGGGAGTTTAGCGGGAATTTGGGGAGGTTTGATGGTAATTTCGGGGGGTTTTAACGGGAATTTTGGGAATTTGGGAGTTTTTAATGATAATTTCGGGGAGTTTTAATGGGAACTTGGGAATTTTGGGGTGTTTGATGATAATTTCGGGGTGTTTTAACGGGAATTTGGGAATTTTGGGGTGTTTAATGATAATTTGGGGAGGTTTAATTGGAATTTTGGGGGAGCTTGATGATGATTTCGGGTTGTTTTAATGGGAATTTGGGAATTTTGGGGTGTTTAATGATACTTTTAGGGGGTTTTAAGGTGAATTTGGGAATTTTGGGGGTCGTGTTTTTGAGTCCGCATTTTTTTTTTTTTTTTTTTTTTTGGGGGGGATTCCCGGGAATTCCGGCAATCCCTGCCCCCTCCCCCTTCCCCTCCCCCCCCCCAGGCCATGAAGGAGGCGCCGCCGCCCCGCCCGAATCCGGGGGGTGGGGGAGGGGCGGGAGGGGGAGGGGGCGGCAGCGGCTGCCCCTCCCCCACCCCCCCTCCCCCTC